CCGCCCGCTGCCAGCAGGTCAGAGGGCACGCCGCGTCCGCGCCGCCGCAGTAGCCCCCGAGGCCGCCCGCGCCATTTTGGATAAGGTCAACACTGGAGTTTGGTGGGAGAAAGGGCCGGCTGCGGAGACGCCCACCCGGTGCGAACGCGAGCGCGGCCACCTGCGGAGGGGCGTGGGCAGAGCGCGGGCGCCGCGCGGCGTGGGCGGACGTGTGCACAGGTCGGGGCGCTGCGGGCCTTCCGCGCGTCTGCCGGGTGAGGCCCGTGCCCACTTTGCCGCGGAGAAGCCAGGCGACCGGGAGGCTGCTCCAGCCGCTGAGCCCGCACTCACGGGGTCGCCGACGGCCTGACCGAAAGGGACCGGAGCTCGGTTAGATCCTCCCGTGCAGTGTGGTTCACTGGGAACCAGACTTCGTGCTCGGGACACCCAGGCGCTCACCCGCTCCTCCGGAGGCTGGTTAGAACCAGTGCGATGAAGACGAGAAGACGGGGTAGGCACTAGCTCACTGTTTGCCTGAAAGTGGGGTGTGCAGGAGAGGATTTTGAGCGGTATGCAAAGGAGCGCTTTGAAAAATGAATCGTCACGTGTCTGGGGGCCCCTCGTGGTGAGGTGGTTTGAAAAACACACCAGGCGCTGTGCAGTATGTGCCCAAAATTGGAGAAAAGGAAGGGATTGTGTGGTGTGGCCGCTCCCCCTTTTGCTCGCTATCTCTAACCAGGTATGTACTCTACCAGAACGTAAAAAAAATAAATAAAAATTACATATTTGTTAAAATGGTTTTTTTCTTCACCCCTTTTTGTGAATATATAGAATACATTAACATGGTACAAACTTTTAAAAGTTTTTTGGGGGTTGTTTGTTTTTAGTTCAGTCTTTCTCATGGCTGGGCCAGTGGTGTCATGCAGCCGCATCCAATTATGTGCAGAGTTGCAGGTGACATCAACAGGCCAGAATCCTGACCTTGGTTTACTGATCTATGGAGAAGGGCTGCTTTGACACCAAGGCATAAAGGGAAGGAAGGCCCTGAACTCGCTCGCTCTCTTTTTTTCTTTTTAGAGGCTTTTTCCTATTGGACACGTGCACTCACCAGAAAGACAAAAACAGAAAAAGTGTGTGTGCGTGCGTGCCCAAGATTCTGAGAGGAGAATGGAGGAAAAGGGATTGTGGCCGTGGCCATCCCCCCTGGGGGTGATTTCTCGCTTTCTGTCTCTCTGTGTCTTTCTGGCACGAGGATGTGCTCTATAGCAAAAACCTCTCAAAAAAAAAAAATACTAATAATAACATAATTCTTTAGGGAAAAAAAAAAAGAATGAAAAGCACTACAAAAAACTTTTTCTGGGAAAGGCCCTAATTGCAGCGACCAGCAGGTGGCGTGGCAGTTAAGGCGCTGGACTCTCCCACATGGTCAACTAAGGTTTGAGTCTCCCATCTGGTGACTTTCTCTCTCTCTCCCT